TGTTAGTGATGATGGTTAAGGGATGAAGCACTTGAATAGTTGGAAATGGAAATTCCCATGTTTTCATTATAACAAAAAATAACTTTAATTAGTTATCTCTTACAATATTAAAATAGGATATTGGAACTTCTACAAATATATTCGCCATTATAAAATATTTTATTTTGTATAAATTATAATTTTAAACCAATATTTATTTACTTTTAAATAAAAATGAATTATAACACAATATGTTTTTATGTAATTAATTTTTGTGATATATGTTTTTTTGTCAATAAATCACCGATTTTTGTATATTACACTGTTTGATTAATTTAGTTTAGGTTAAAATATTTTCGATAATGATTATGAAAATATCAAATATTTTATTTTATATTTTAAACTTTTTCTAAACAATAATGAAAGAAAGTTAATATCTTTACTACTTTCTTACAATTCTGCATAAAATAATATAATAATTTTATAATATTAAATAAAACACATTAACTGAAAAAAGACAAACGGAAGGAAAAGCAAACACCCAACATATTGAGTTGAATTCAGCTCTTTGTCACTTTCTATTTATTTGCTTTTGTGTGCATAGCTGGATGTCATGAACTCATCATCTTTATCCGTATAAATTAACTACTAATTCTTTTAGTAGCACATTAAAGAAACTAATTATCTCATTCTATTGTGGGGTAGGGGTCACTGATTAGTGGATTTGTTGAGAATCCTTCTCAATATATCATAACTATTATCTTTTTATTATATGATTCATCGCATGAATTATGTTTTTTGACGTGGGGTTTGAGCATTCTATATGCTGCCTCTGGCAAAAGGTGCAGATCAGTAGCATCGTATGTATATGACGTATGTTTGAAGTATCGCTTCCGTTCCATTATTTCACAAATCAACTGAAGAAACGTCAGCGTTAAAATCCCTGCTTCTTAACGCTTTACACGTTAACAAAATATTATAAAACTATGCTCGAGAAGCATTTCATTGTTAATTAATTTGTATTAACTCGTTAAAAATCAATTAACTTGTACTGATGGTAATAATCTCCAGTTCAAGAATTTTAAGTATGTAATTGAATTAAATATTTAAAGACAGAGTTTTGTCATTTATAATAATCTTATATAATTCAAGAAACTTCTTCTGAAAAACATTTATAATTAAACTAAAAAATCTTGTACTGATGCTAGAGTTTATTTGTAGAAGATATGGTTATTTTATATAAGAGACATAGTGTTTTGCAATTTTTAATTATAAATGTAATTAGTTAATACGACAAGCGAACACGTTTATGTTAATGAATACAAATTAAAGAAAATATCATTCTTTTAATGATCGACACACTAAACTTTATATACAGTAAGTTTTCATTAAAAATAATAAAATATTATAAAATTTAATATATTAATAACATTAAGTGTTACACTTTTTAATTAAAATATTATTTTTAACATTTTTTTAATGTGTGTTATTGAGCAGATATTTAAAAAATGAAATAGAAACATGTCTAAAATTGAAAATTAAGCAACACCGTGTGCGAGAAAGAAAACTCAAGTTAAGAAAATAATAAAAGCTAATATAAAAGTAAGGTAATGTTTAAACATGTCTCCTTCCAAAAGCAGGAAATGATCGTAAAACTCGTTCAAAAACTACAATACTTATATGTTATAAATGACATATTAACTACGGTTGCGTAAGTATTTTGAATATAACTAAACTATAGAAATATAGATTTAACATATCTAAATTTCAATTGTAAAAAACATTTTTAATAATAAAAAAACATAGACATTTCAAACTTTTATATTTTAAAAAGTCAAAAACTTATTTATAGATATTCGATATTGATAAGAAAAATTAATAAAAATAAAAAATAATTAAAAAAACTAACTAAAAAATATTAGTTTAATTTGATAAATACAAATGCATGTCACTAAATTAAAAGGATAGGTAACGGTATGAATAAAAATACATGTAGAGATCATTCTATTATATTAATAAAACCCATTATTTATCATATAAAAACGAATAAAAAACTTAAAAGAAAAAATGAAGCCTAAATTGAAAAAAAAAAGTGTCGTATCAAAACTATTCAACCTCTCACTAAATTTACGCCAACCCCTCAATTCTTCATGGATACTTGAATAAACCTATTGAGTAGTTTAATTTAAAAATTAAAATGTTATAAACTATTTAAATAGATTTTTAAATTTTAGAAAATGTTTTATATACATAAACACATATTTCATCATAAAAATAATTTTAATTTTAATTAATATTTATAATTATACACTTGATCCAAATAAACACATTTTTTCCTCTGAAAAACATAATTCACTATTTTTTTAAGGTGTCATCGTAGTTCTTTCGATGAAGAAAAAGGAACACTCGGTTGAGATGAGAATGTCATAAACATTTAATATTCATTTATTTTCCGTGTCATGTCATTCGGGGTATGGTTTTTATGAAGTTATGAGCAATTCTGAGCAGCAAAAAATAGTGTTGTTCTATTTATCTTTCCACTTGTCCAAATACACATGAAAGGAGTTTATTGAAGACAAAATAAAATCTCTCGAGAAAGCGGTCTTCATTATCATGCATATGAATGAAATATTTACAAAATGATATCCGTTTATCGTTATTATTATTTTAATACTGTGATAAGGCAAACAAATTTTTCCTATTTAGAACCAATTTATCTTCATGAAAAGTGAAGAAATTTATTCACCCATCTGGTTGATGCCAAACCATATATGGGAGAGAAAAACTAGGAGACAATTTTGTAGTTGTTTACTTGTAATGGGAAACGGAATTAGGTGAAATCAAAAAGAAAATTTGCTTTTAAATATAGTACAGTCAAAATTGCGCTTTAATATGAAAACATATGAGAATCACGTTGGCTTTGCAATACAAACAAAGCTTACACAGGTTGTCGTAATTGTCTTTCTTCAAGTTTCTTACAAAAGTTTTCGTGCTAAGAAGGATTACTCAAGGTAATGTTTAAATTAATTTATGTATATTAATGTTCCCAAAACATCTTTTAATTCCCAAAAAAATTAAATATGTCACTTGAGTTTTTTATTTTGTTAGTATTAAAACATGAAGCACAATCAATTACTATTTAAAATTGTTTTTAACTTTTTTTTTTGTCTTGAGCATTTGTGAAACTTTATCAAGTTTAGTCTTGAGTGTATAAATCCATCGTAGTGCTATATTAACCAGAGCATGTTTCACTGCTCATTAAATTGAATATCTGCTAAAATTTCATAACAAGAGTTTAAGTCATGGGATAACAATTTCCTTAATAGTCACTAACAATAAAATATCATCATTCAGACCAATAATTCTTTGATTTTGAGTAAATTGATTAATATAGTTAATATCGGTATATAATAGTCAATCATTATTTGACAAAATATATTCACAGGGCTCATAACTCCTGTATTCCATAACCGTAAGTTCCAAGGCAGTATAATAATATAGCTATGCTAATGTGGTAGGGATAATTTTTTTTAAGGGGTGCCCGTAATTATGCACTGGTTTTTCAATTCAGTTAAAATATAAAAGAAAATGTTAAATCAATGCATAAAAACTACAAATTCTATATAGCGACAGTGTACGAGATTAAATCATGTTTGAAAAATGATAATTGCTAGTGACAGAGTAGGAGATCAAAATGATCTCTTTTTATCTTCTATAAAGGTTATCTCGTTTTACTCACTTTCCTTGACTAAAACGGCTAGGTTGTGAGAAGGGGCCATGTGAAGAACCATTGCAATTTGCATGAGAAGTATTTCCAGCTGGAAAGTGGGTTAATTGAATGGTACTTTTGACTGGAAAAATTAATTCAAGGCTGACAAGCAGGGTAACTTTGTGTTATGGAATGTCAGCAGTTATTTGCTCTCTTATACGGTTAATTCCCCTAAAATTTGAGCTGAGGTGCGATCTATCACCATCTCTGATGCTACGTTGGACCAATTACACATCCGTGGGGTTCATCTCTTCCCCATGTATGACTATACATTTGCCAAGTCCATGAACCACCAGATGCCACCGATGCACGTTGGGGACCCGTTCATTGGATTATTTCGTTAGGAACTGTTCAACCCGTGACGTGGCGCCACCACACTATGCAATGAATGAACTTGCCTCAATCAACCATCACAATGCCATACCAACCCCAACCCCCCAATTACCCCACACCTCTCTCATTAATTATGAGTAGTAGTAGTAGTAATTCATTACTCGTTTCCATTCACAGATATTTTTAGCCCACGGCCATTCCCTAATTTTTAGGCTTCTATTTTCGTATTCCGTTAAAATTTTAAACTAAAACACACTTTCTCTTTCTTCCTCTTCTTCTTCTTTTTATAAAAAAGGGTTAGATTAAAACGAGAAAAAAATCACTTAGCAGCTGGCATCTAGTTGTTGTGAGGAATCCAAAACCACTTTCTCTTTCTGGGTAACTCTTTTTTCTCCATCTGAGTGTAGGAAATAATGAAAAGATGAGTCAAGGGAATGAAAAACACATGAACCGTTCAATTCACGATCCCATCCACCCATCCATCCATCCATCTCCACTTTCTTCAACGAACCAGGAAAAACGTATCGCGGTCCGTGGATCTACGTGATAGCGTGAATCGCCCGCTCTTCTTTTCAGTTATTTTGCCTCCACATCCCCGTTACCTTTCACACACACTCTCATCCAATAAAAAGTGAAAAATCACTTTTTAGAAATTAAAAAAAAAGGGAAATTCTGGAATGCTTCCGAAAACAAACACGTCGGTCACTAAACTCCTAATCAACAAACAGCAACAAATGAAAACAAAATATTAAACTCGAACCAGCAAAATATAAAAGAAAAAGGCACGGCTCTGCTCCCCTGCTTCATTGAACACTGATCGAACAATGTGAGCATCCACAACAGGCAAAAGAAATACTATAGGCGGCACACGAGACATAAGTAACTGTACAACAGTGAAGAGTTTGGTTGGGTTGAGTGTTCAGCATGGATTTTGAGAGGGAGTGAAAAGGAGAGGGTCGAGTTTGGTTCTACAAACGGGGCAGAGAGGGTGCTTGGAGAGCCAGGCATCAGCGCATTCCAAATGGAAGCCGTGGTTGCAACCGGGAACCACTCGTGCGGGTTGCTCGATCCCGATCTCCTCCAGGCAAACGGCGCATTCGGTTCCCAAGACAAGCTCTTTTCCGGTAATTTTGGGCAACTTATCGAGCTCGGAAGGGGAGAGGCCCTTTTCGGAGACGGGCTTAGCCGGTAACGTGGGTTGGGTGTGGTGAGTGGTGGCGTACCAGAGAAGGCACATGTAGACGATGAAAACTGCGCTCATGCCGAGGCAGGGCAAGAAAAGGGCGAGGAGGACGGAATCGAGCATGTCCAGTTTGGGAGGGTGAAGAGATGAAATGATCGTTAATGTGGCGGTGGAGGAGATCGGTGGGAGTGGGAGTGGGAGTGGGAGATGCAGAGCATATCGCGGGATAAGTAAGGTGGTTGAGGAAGGGATCTGATCCTGGGTTTGAGAGCTTGTGAGTGTGACGTTGAATCAGAATGGGTAGCTAAGTAGATAGGTTGATTATTGAGTGTGGAAATGGAAGAGAATAGAAGGGAAGGGAATGATTGGGTTGGTTTGCATTTGGCCTTTGCTTGTGAGTGAGAGGATGGGATGGGGGTGCGGTTTATAAGTTTTGGCGTGATCGTGTTTCGTATCTCACAAGGAAATCCCTCAAACTTCCTTCACTGTCCCCTCTCGCCTCTTCTTTACACCCTCTACCAAGCCTTTATTTTTGGAATGCAAATGGGTTGGATTTCTACCGATACCACGCCACAGTATCCATTTTTATGCTTCAGTTTTAATGAAGAACAAATTATAGTCAATATTTTTTTAAAGGTTTATCAATTTTTATTTCATCATCTTTTTTTTTATCTTGTATAAATCGCTCTTGAAATAACGTAACATCCTAATATTTCTTTATTACATTAAATACAAAGGTTAGATGCAATATCATAAATGCTATTACTTAAAAGTACTAACAACAAGTATCATACTATATTTATATTTTATGCTTATATAAATCATTCTGATTTTTTATGCAGTTATAAAAATCAAGAGAGATTAAATTAATGTTAAAAAAATATCATATAAAAATTTCTTAAATTTCATGTAGTGAATATAATTTATCCATTAAAAAATAATCTTTAATCTATTTTTATGTTTACATAATTAACAATTTTGACTAGTATATTTATAATATTGGATTCTTAAATTTATTTTTGAATATCTAACAAGTATAGGAGCTATTACTATTTTTTGAAAATTTATCATCACCCATTAAAAAAACAAGAGAAAACAATTAATTTAAGTAATGATATAACATCGCATATCCTTCTTATGAAATTATATGAATCATGGAAAGTTAAAATAACGCATTTTTGTTTTAAGTGTTTAAATTTTCTTTTCTTTTTCAAATTAACTATGCATATTTTTTACAATTATAAATGTTTTCCTTTAATTTATACTTTTAAATTTTCACCTAAATTATTTACATTATATTCAAATTTTTAATTAATTTTTTACTTTACCTAAATTTAAATGAAAATTCATATAATTTACATGAAACGTGTTATTTTAAGTTAGAAAACAAACGCACCGAATGACTTAATTATATCTATTGGTACTTGAATGAACCGGACTCAAAACATTTTATTTTGATGCACCATTTGAGTTTAGAATTTGTTTTAATGCACTTATTTATTTGATTGAATTGAAAAGAAATGTTAAGTTTTGGAGAAAAAATTTAAAATTATTTTCTCTTTCTAATTTCGAAATATGTTCACTCAACTTAAACTCTTGAATCAATAAAGGTATTGAATTTTAGTAGTGTAGTCACAGACCGACACACGCACACATATAGTAGCGTTCCTTATTTGTTAATCTTATTATCATGACATCCTTTGTGGTCTATTTATGACTGAGGATAGCACAAGTATCATTGAGCCTGTAGGGGATGATAATATCATACCTCAGGATCAGTGGTTACAGTAACAGTGGTCGCACACGAGCGAGGGAATATCTGCATCTGATTCTTATATTTCGTTGGATTTAAATTGGAAAGACGAGATTAAGAAAGAAAGGTGGGGTTACCAGAGGCTATGTTATGTTTCGCCCCGTCTGCGAAGCAAAAGGCACTTTTGTTTGTATTTCTTCTTCCAGTCGTGCTACGGATCCACCTTGTCCAACTTCTTTTGTATGTGTTGCCATTATATTTTTTAATACATTATAATCAGTTCAAATTTACTCCTAAGCATAACATTATGAATATATTTTGTCAAATAAAATTCATATAATTTTATAATTTTTAATATTTTATTATGATTAACAAAAACTATATATTTAAAAGAATGTGTTATAAAAAATGCTGGAGACATTTATCTTCTTTCTTTGGGTTAAGATAAGATGGGGCCCTCAACTTTACCAAATTAGACGTATCTATTCTCCTATGTACTTTCTTTTTCGTGTCCAAGTGTGTGATTGAGTTATTTCATTTTGTATTTGGAAGAGTTGATAATCAAAGCCCAACATTTTGTTGTGAGAAGTTATAGAAAAAGAAAATTCTTTTGGATTGTTCTTAACGATATGTTCGGAAGTTAGATTTAAAAAATTCATATTAATTTATCATGTTATTTTTATTTAAAAAACTTATAAAATAAATAATATTAATTAAAAATTTAAAATATGCTATCTTCTATTTTGTTCTTTGAAAACTTAATTCTCAAGGACACTTCAAGTCAAAACCCAGCATACAATTAGGATATGTGGCTTTTTCAAAAGCTTTTATGTTGCATCTATTTTGAAAAAAGAAGGCCAGTGGATTAATTTAACATTTACAAATACAAACATATAATATGTGAATAAACATATGATCATAAGTCATAGTGGACAAATAAAGAAGATTCATTATTCTACATCAACAGTCAATGATTATATCTATATCTAGCTCATTATTTCACTTTACCTAAAGTTTATTTCACAACCTAATAATATTTGTATTTACATATTCATTAAATTGAAACATTAATTCCTTCCAAATCTACGTTACAAATTTTGAACAGTTTTACTTTGATCTTTTATGATTAAGACATTTTTAGTATATTAAAGAAAAACTATCGATAAATAAAAACCACGTGAAAAGTCTTCACAAAGAGAAACTTTTTCTTTTTTTTGGTATTTTATAATGCCTATTTCCGTAACGGTTAGTATTCTTAAATTGAATTTTTTATTTAAAAATACAATAAAAATAATTACATATATTAAGTTCATATTAGGTATCATTGGTATTTTCTGTCATTAACCATAAAAAACATATACTCTTAAAATTTTATTTTTTTATAGAAAAAAGTTTTTATTTGTCAACATGTAAAAAAAAAAAAGTTCAAAGATCAAAGTTGCACAAGTAGGGAAGGTCAACGTAGCAGAAGTTGACCTAAGTTGCTACTTGCACCCAGGTATAGCGTATGCCTAATTCGGACCACCCTGTTTCGCCGCTTAATGACAATAATGTCACCAATCTCAGCCCCAAAAAAGTGAAAGCCACTCTTTTAGTTATTTTCAACGATGTTTTCAAACACGTTAAAAAATATACTTTGTTTGGGGGTGAAAAATACATTAAAAAATATACAAATATAAATTAATATAAAATTTCTAATTAATAGTGTTAAGAGTAAATTCGAATTTGTGATTATTTAAACCTAAATGCACGTTAAGAAAACCTAAAATAAAGATAATCAAAAGCACATTCGAACATGTAGTCAAACAACCGATAGCAAAGTGAACAACTACAGTTTAAGTGGATATTGAAAATAAATAGAATTTATTTTGAAAGTGACGTTAATAACGTTAATTATTCTTACTTGAAAGAAGGTTAGAAAATTATATTGGATTCAAGTATCAGTGTATTTATAATATGATACTAATTTATTTTCTTAATCATATCAATACTTGTATGAAAACATTCCAAAATGTATTATTTCTCTTTTACAAGAGTTTTTTCATACAAGTATTAAAGGAGGCTAAGAGCCCAGAATTTTCAACTATTCTTTTAAAATATAGACACAAAATTTAAAATCGTTCTCTTAATTTTTTTTTAAAAAATTATTTTAAGTATTCAATTTTTGTAACGTCAATTATTTGGCAGCATCTTTTAGAATATAACATAATAATCTCTTAAACATTCAACGTATGAAAATTTGGTTAAAAATTAATAAATATTTTTTTTACTATAAAGCATGTTAAAAGTATATTGAAATTACAATAAAATATATTAATAATGTTTTTTAGGATTAATTATAATGTATTGATATTGTAAAAAAAATTACATTATTAAACTTTTGTAATAATTAATTAAAAAATTATATTTATGATATATTTTTATCATTTAAGAAAATAGACTTTTTACACTAACAACACACTATAACTAAACTCTATTTTTAATTTTCAAATAATACTTTTGAGATATTCGTAAATATTTGTCAAGTTTAAATTATGCTCCGTCTATTTCATATTAAATGTTATTTGAGCACCTTTTAAAATATCAAAAAATATAATTATTTCTAAATAATATCTTTATTTATTAAGAATATTTTAAACTAATTAACTATTAAAAATTTAAAATTAATTATCACTTAACTGTCGTAATAATTTCAGTATTTTTAATAGAAATATTTAAAAAACCTAATTTATTTTATTATAATAATTAATAAAACTAATTATTTTAAAAATATATACATTAGTACTAGGTGCATTTAACATGAGACAGAAAGAATAATTGTATGAGTTAAATTAATTTTTCGGAATTTTGGTTATGCGGTGTGAGTCAGAGTCGTGTCAGTTTTTGACTTCGCAGATCCCTTTTGTTGGTCTTTGGTGTAATGTTTTCCCCCATACTCTCCGATCAACAGTGTGAAGGATGGTCAGGTTCGTTTGACGTTTCTCTTTCAGCAATGCTTTCCCTAATGGTAATTATTAGGGATTTTGATTTGGTTTTGATGCGAGGAGATAAAAAGCTTTCGTCTTCGTTTCTTCAATGTTATCATTATTTGATGAATCTCGGAGTAATATAAAGACGGTAACATTGAAAATATACAAGACTTTAAAATGAAATTTCACTATCCTCGAATGAATAAAAAACAATAATTTTATTCTTTAATATTACAAATTTAATCATTAATTTATTATCATAATTAATGTATAACTTTATTAAGTTAAAGTAAAAAATTTCTCTCTTTTTTTTAAAGTCTCTTAACTAATTGTGTGTGATTTTTAATTTTTTAAATGTATTAAATATCTTTGTTTTTTATATTATGTAAAAAAAAATTAAG